AAAAAAAAAAAAAAAAAAGAAAAAAAAGAATGAAGCTTTGTATCACAACAAATGTAATAAACAGAAAATCTTGGAGATACAAACAGAGAACCTATGAGTCATTTCACAACATGTGTTAAGTAAGCTGCTCTGTATTATAATGGGCCCCAAACATGACAGCTCCTAAGAGAGCCCTTGAGGACAGGGACTATAGCTAATGTGTTTTTATATCTCCAGTGTTTCCCACAGTGCCCAGTAGTTACAAGGGGTTTATTAGGGTTCGCTGAATAAATGAATGAATTAATAAGTATATGCAGAGGGCTAGCTTCCCTCTAAACCCTGTAACTTCGCAGTTGTTATTGGAGCTCTGGAGGTAGACAAGTAAGCACTTCCCCCTTGGACACCCTCAGTCTGGAGCCTGCTGGTGACAATGGCCCTACCTGCAATATGCAATAACATTTCCCATGTAAAGGAACTGCCTGTGTGGACCGTTCAAAAAAAAAAAAAATACCACTTCTTGGGACCAGCAGTTAGTGTAATGGCTATGTCGCTGGACTCCCACATAGTCAACTGTGATTTGCGTCCTGGACCTGGTGGCTTAAAACTCACGCTGGGTGCGTGTGCGTTCGTGCCCAAAAGCCGGAGAGGAGAATGGAGGAGAAGGGATTGCGGTGTGGCCATCCCCTCTGGGTGGTGATTTCTTGCTTTCTATCTCTGTCTCTGTCTGTCTGGCGAGCGCACATGCCCTGTAGCAAGCCCCCCCCCCCCAAAAAAAAAACCACCTCTTCCCCTAAATCTGTTCTTTTCCTAATTCAGTTAATGTTATTAACTTAGTTTCTCACATAGCCATGAAATCTCATTTTTTATTTTTCTTTCAATGTCATCCAAAATTTGCCAAATCCTATCAGTTCCACTGCTACTCTCTCTGAAACTTTGTGCCTTGACCACACTCCCACTGCTACTGCCCTGATGTAGCCTCATTACTTTTTGTCTAGACTGTTCCAAACCAGTCTCCTTGCACTGTCTGTCCTTCCTCCAAACTGTCTTAACCTACTGTTAAGACATTACTTTTCACATAGCACAGTTCAGGTCATATCACTATATTCCTGCTTAAATCCTTCAGTGGCTTCCATTCCTTACTAAAATAAAGTATTCAAAACCCCAAACTCTGTTCTCCTCTTCTGCTCTTCTCCATTATACCCCATATGCTATCTATCCTACCCAACTAGACTGCTGCTGGTGTCTTCATACTGCCTCCTCTTTCTGGAATGTCCTACTTCACCATCTCCGCATCCTAAATACCACCTCCTCTATAACGGAAAGGCTGCAACTCAGATTTAGGTATAATCTTTTCTGTCTCGAAGTTCTCATGCCATGTTGAGAGTTGCTCACTTGTAGATAAAATCAATTAATTCTGTAACAAAGTTATTGGTACAATAAGCCACCAAATACACACATGCATTTTTAAAAAAAAATTTTGCCAAAGGTGCCTGCACTCACCAGAAAGACAGACAGACAGACAGACAGGGAGGGAGGGAGAGAGAGAGAAAAAAAGTGAGAGAGAAGGAAAGAAAAAGCAAGAAAGTACTTTCATGGGGAATGGACATGCTGCAATCCCTTCTCCATCTCTCCCTCCCGCTCTTTGTAACTTTGGGTATGCATACACATATACCTGGTGTGTTTCTCAAGCCACCAGGTCCAAGACTTGAACCCATAATTGGCTATGTGGGATCCAGCTACCTTAACCACCATGCCATGGGCTGGCCCAGAATATATCTTTTATTTATCACTAATACAGCAAAGTGTCTCACTTAGTTCTTAATAATGAAGGTAGAAAGGTGAGCAGAAATGGGAATAAAAATTTTCTGGTTGCACATGTGAATGAATGACCAGCTAGCCACACAGCTGGTTAAAAATTCCTGCCTAATTTGAAGTGGTTTATGATAACCAATTAAAACGTTATCAGAAAGAAATGAATGCTATGGAAAGATATGTTGTATTCATGGATAGGAAGAAAATATTGTTGTGATAGCAATAAAAACAATGATAAAACATAAATAAAATAATAAAAAATTAAAAAATAACCAAAACAATAATAACAAAGACACTCTTGTTGAGATAGTAATAAAAACTGACCTATGGATTCAATGTAAACTCTAAAAAAATTCTAACAACTTTTCTTGCAGAAAAATAAAAGCCAATCTCCAAATTCAAACAGAATTGCAAGGAGCCACAAATAGCCAAAATGATACTTTAAAATAACAAAATTGAAGAACTCAGTTTTTTGTTTGTTTGTTTGTTTTTTAATTTTGCTACAGGGCATGTGTGCTTGCCAGAGAGAGACAGAAAGAATGAGAGAGGGAAAGTCATCTCCCTGGAAGGTGATCTTGCCTTCCAGGGAGATGACCACACCACAATCCATTCTCCTCTTGGAATTTTGCATTTTTGTGTTTTTCAAGTCGATGGGTCTGGTACTCAAACCATGTAGTCCGCCATGTGGGATCCAGCTGCCTTTACCACCATGCCACTTGGCTAGCACTTTCTTGTTTTAAAACTTACTATGAAGCTACAGTATTCAAAGCAGTAGTACTGGCATAAAGATACGCTGATGGAATAAAATGGAATAACCAATGGACTACAACTTAGAGTCCGGAAACAAGCCCATACATTGACAACCAGCTGACAAGACTGCCATGATCATTCAATGGAGGAATAGCCTTTTGAACACATGGTACTGGGACACCTAAATTTTTACATACAAAGGTGGTTCAGGCCAGCTGGTGGTGTGATAGTTAAGGCCGTTGAATCCCACACGGGTGACTTCACAGTTTAAGTCTTGGACTCAGTGGCATGAGAAACATGCTGGGCAAATCTGTGTATATACCCAAAATCCCGAAAAGAAGGGAGAGATGGAGAAGAAGAGATGGCAGCATGACCACTCCCCATGGGGAATACTTTCTCACTCTCTCTTTCTGTCTGTCTCCCTGGTAAGAACATATACTATCTGGAAAAATTAAAACAAAAAACAAAGGAGATTGGATTCCTACCTCGCACTGTGCACAAAAATGAACTCAAACTGTATCAGTAACCTAAATATAGGAGCTAAACAAAACTTAGGAAAAAAAGATGAGAGAGGACTCTGCATGAGTTTGGATTTGGCAATGGATTATTAGATATAACAACAAAAGTATAAGCAACAACAACAAAAAAAACCCAGGTAAGCTGGACTTCAGAAAACTTAAAGACTGGGGCTGGCAGGTGCTGTGGTGGTTGAAGATGCTGGACTCCCACTGCCTGACTATGACCTGGTCGAGTCCCAGACTCGGTGACTTGTTTTCTCACTTTCCCCCTCTCTCTCTGTCCCTCTCTGGTCAATCAACCAATCAATCTATCAAGTTAAATAAATAATTCTTTTTTAAAAATTTAAAAACTAATGAATCAAAAGGTATGAACACAAAAGCAAAGAAAACCTCCAAAATTGAAGAAAATATTTGCAAATCATTTACCTGATAAGGATTTAATATTCAAAATATATAAAGAACTCCTACACCTCAACAATAAAAAGACAAACAGCCCAATTTAAAATGGACAGAGGTCATAGTGCAGTTGTTAAGAGAGCCAGATCTTGTATGGCCAACTTCAGTTCAAATTCCAGATCCAGAAGCAGAGAAACATGCCAGGTGCATGTGCCTGAGTGCCTAAAATCCCGATGGGAAGGAGGAACGGAGAAACAGGGATTGCAGCACGATCACACTCCAGTAGGGAATGCGCTCTCTCTCTCTCTCTTCCTCTCTCTCTCTCTCTCTCTCTGGCAGGCATAAGTGTCACCTGGCACTATAAAAATAAATAAAGAAAGAAAAATAAAAATGAACTGAAGATTTGAACAGCTCTTTCTCCAAAGATATAAACGGTCAACTGGCACATGCAAAGATGCTTAGCATCACTGGCTCTCAGAGAGATGCAGATCAAAACCACACCGAGAAACCACTTTATACCTACTAGGAGGCTATGAGAACAAAATAGGAAACAAGTGTTGCTGAGGTTACGGAGAAAGTGGACTCCTCAAACGTTCTAAGTGGGAATGTATAATGCGGTGGCTGCTATGAAAAACAGTTCAGTGGTTCCTCAAAAAGTTAAAAATTCCTCAGAAAGTTAAATATAGAATTATAACATGACTTACCAATTCCACTCTGAGGGATATACCCAAAAGAAGTAAAAACAGGGACTCAAATAGATCCTTGCTCACACTGGCATACACACACTGGCATACTCATACGCATGGCAGTATTATTCACAATAGCCAAAAGGTAGAAACAACCCGAATGTTTATCAGTGCATCAATCAATAATCAAAATGTGGTATATACATACAATGGAATATTATGCAGCTCTAAAAAGAAATGAGGGCCAGCCACTGCAGTGATGATTAAGACACTGGATCTCACATGGCCGACTGAGCAATTCAAGTTCCAAAGCTGGTGGCTTGAAAAACATACCAAGCACATGTACATGCATGCCCAAAATCCCAAAAGGAGATAGGGTTGTAATATGGCTACCCCCCCACCCTGGGAATGCTTTCTCACTTTCTCTCTCTCTTCAGTAAGCACACCTATAGTAAAAAAATTTTAAATAATAATATAAAGTAATTAAGTACTGATATATGCCACAAAATAGATATCCTTAACAAAAAAACATTATGCTAAGTGAAAGAAGCTATATTCACAAGGATAAATACTAAACATTGTATAATTCTACTTATATGAAATCTAGGAATCTAGATTTGCTTCCACAGAATAGGCAAATTCATAAAGTAGATTACCAAGGATTGTGGGGAGAAGCAAATGCAGAGTCATTGCTTAGTGGGTGTGAAATTTCTGTCCGAGGTAAGGAAAAGATTTTGGAAATAGCTATGGTGATTGTACAACATTGTAAATAAAATTAATGTAACTAAATTGAACTACTGAAAATGTTTCAAATGGCAAAATAAATAAATAAATAAATAACTTTCAGGTTAATTTAAATGCCATTCATATCAAGAAAGGCACAAAGCAGATAACATTTACTTTGCTCTATCAGAAAAGTTGCCTATTGGTTCACTGAGTGGCCAATATTTATAATTCCACTCTGTGGCCTATGAAACATACCTTCATACTGCCCAAGTGGCTGTGCCATTCTGCTCCACGCATTACTCCTCCTGGAATATTTTCATCTATGAAAGGATTGAGAAATGCAGGATCAATGAGACCATAGTGCAAGACCTCCTCTCCCACAACAGCAACAATAACAAGGGGTAGGAAAAATACCTGATTTATTTGGGCAACTGGGCTGACCCATGTGCATCGATGGGTGATTATTTGCATAAAGAGATGCCAAATGCTTCAGAGTCTCTTTGTTTTCCACTACAAAAAGAAAAATTCAGAAGTCAGTGGAGAAATCCGAACATTTTTCTGTAAGTTCAACTTCACAAAAGTCATCTTCCGCTCCTTCAATAGTAATCATTGCATCCCACTGAAGTTTATATTGGAGGAATTACTATATTGAACTGCAAGGTTTTGTTTAGCCCAAGATAATCACACTAAGAAGACAAACATCTTCCTTATATTAAGAGGTACTATTGGTGAGTTTATACAACAGGCTACCACACTAAATACAAACTTTTTTGGTTATGTTTTATTACTTTTGGGGGCAACTGTGGCCTAATAACCATATCCCTTATATAAAGTGCATTGAAAATGACATAAACTTGATTTTTGTCAAAAGTGAGAGGTCCAAGATCTCAAACTATAAAACTGCTCCTGAAAAACACTGGGGAGACATTGGGGTAGGAAAAGAATTCTTAAATAAGACCCCCAAAGCATAGTCAATAATCCCCAAAATAGACAAGTGGGATTACATCAGACTAAGAAGTTTCTGCATGGCAAAAGACACAGTAATTAGTGTGAATCGACAGCCCTCAGAATGGGAAAATATTCTTGGAAATTATGCATCAGATAAGGGACTGATAACCAGAATACACAAGGAACTCAAGCAGCTGTTTGGAAAAAAGATGATCAATCCTATTAAAAGATAGGAGAAGGAGTTGAAAAAAACACTCTCTAAGGATGACATACAAATAGCCAAAAGGCATATGAAAAAATGCTCAACATCCCTCATCATAAGGGAAATGCAGATCAAAACAACAACGAGATACCATCTAACCCCAGTCAGAATGTCTAAGATTAAAAAAACAAAAAATGATAAGTGTTGGTTGGGGTGTGGTAAAAGGGGAACTCTCTTACACTGCTGGTGGGAATGTAAATTAGTCTAGTGACTGTGGAGAACAATTTGGAGATTACTCAAAAATCTACAAATAGAACTACCATATGATCCAGCAATCCCACTCCTTGGTATCTCCTCAAAGGACAGAAGAATTCATTGGAAAAGTGCTTGCACATCGATGTTCACTGTGGCACTACTCACAATTGCTAAGTCATGGAAACAACCCAAATGCCCCCAAACAGATGAATAGATAGAAAAACAGTGGCACATATACTCTATGGAATACTATTCAGTCATAAAAAACAACAAAACCCTGGCTTTTGACAGAAAGTGGAAGAATATGGAAGATTTACTGCTGGGTGAAGCAAGCTAGGCTATGAAGGAGAGATACTGTATGTCCCCACTTAATATATACCAAATGTCCGCACTCTGACTGAAGGATATACAAATACAGCAAATGGGTGTAAATACCAAATATAGTGTGTGTGGAAGAGTAGGGCCTGAGGAAGGACATTTAGAAGAAAAATACGAAGGCAAAGCATTAATGGGACAAAGAAATGTGGTATTATCTGTTGAAGATATTTTATAGTTTTATCAACTGGACTAGGGAGAAATGTTCACATACTGAAATATTCACTTTGTAAGCTAAACAATGTGATTGAATGTATAAAAGAAAATGAAATAAAAAAAAAGAAAATAAACTATCTCTAGGATATACTGTGACTCCACAGAGATTCAACAAATGGCTAACTTACCACAAAGTAAAACCACTCAGTCAAAGTTTAGAGTAGGAGAGGGTAATTCTGAGGGTAAGTTTGAGGCAGGTACTATCCATATTATGTATTGTCAATATACATAGACATAATAAATGCTCAGTAAATACTTGCGGGACTAAATTTAACTGATGTGACAAGATGGCTAGACTCAATAAAGCTCCGATATCTTCTCTCAAAACTTTGAACTGTTGATGTATGTAAATCTTACAGGTGGAGTATTTGTTCATGAAGTATGCTCAACTGTTCACCATTTAAAATAATTTAGAAGGGCTATTACTTAATTTGCATTTCCTATCTAGCTTAAATAGCATACATATGAAATGGCATTCTACATACCTGTCTGTACTGGCTTGTCATATGGGTATGTGACCAGCACAGAACCACCATCTAAAGCAACAGAAAGACTGAAGTCCTGTTTTTGAATCAAATTTTCAATGATGGCTTTGGTCTCGGGCTGGGAGGCATTATCTAAAAAATAAGAGTAATATAAAATATCAAGTTTTAAATTTTAGTAAGAATATCTAAGAAAATATTCTCTACTTGAACACTGTCAAAATGCTCATTTACAAAATCTGTTGATAAACACTTTATTTCTCCATAAGCTACTATTTATGCAATAAGATACATTCTAGAAGGTAAGAAATTCTGTGTTTTACAATACATGCCTCAGAATAATATGTTTATGTTAATAACTCTAAGCAAGTTTAAGAAAATTCTTACTGGGAAAAAAAGAGGAATCATAACATGCTTTAGAAAATAATTTAGGGAACATATAACCTATCTTTGAAAGAAAATAAAATTTTCAGAAGGCAGGGTGTTTTCTGCAGCATTGTTTGCAAGAGCAAAAAATTAAAAAAAAAACGAAATGTCCATGAATCAAAACTGATTGAATAAACTAGGATATTGCCATATATAATGGCACAGTAATATTATTAACAAGAATGTTAGATGTCTATAAGAACTAATAAAAATATTTCATTGATAAACTCCATGAGAAAGCTTTATTGAGTAATACATTTAGATGATGATCCCATTTAAGTAACTAAGAAATAGGTCCCAGCACTAACAGATGGTGTAATAGTTACTTTGTTGGATTCCCATGTATTTGACTGTGGCTTGAGTCCCGGACCCAATAGCTTAAAACACACACTGGGTGCATGTGCATGTGTGCTCAAAATCCCAAGAAGAGACTGGAGGAGAAGGGACTGAGGCGTGGTAATTCCCCTGAGAGGTGATTTCTCACTTTCTGTCTCTCTGTCTTTCTCTGTCTCTCTGGTGAGCACACGTGCCCTATACGAAACTCTCTCTTCAAAGAAAAAAAAGGTCCCTCCAAAACAACACACACATATATCATGTGTGTGTGTACACATATATGAGAGTGAAGACAGAATATACATCTTCATATAGCCAGTAATGGAACACACTCCAATATTATTCATTGAATTTCTATGAAAAAAACTCAAATTACTTTTATAAATGAAAAAGAAACAGTCGAAGTTTCCTGGATGTCTGTATTCATTTATACTTCACGTTGATAGGCCCCACAAGAAAGTACCCTACTCCTCATCTAGAAATAGGATCAATTAATCTCCTAGTAAAGAAAGAAAATTATCTTCATAGCACTTCAATGGCCCCAGAATTAGTCTTACTTGTGAAATCTGTATCTAAGTCTTTGCCACGAGCATTTGTCTGTCCTATTTTTGAAGTACAGTCTTTCTCTTGTGCTCTCTCTCGTCCATCTGGATTCAGAGAAGGGACAATCACAATCCTAGTCCTGTCAACCAACTAAAACAGAAACAAATCAATGAGTTTAGCAGGTCTATTTGGAATTAAAGCATACCCTCCCATGTGCAAAGAGGAAGTTGTCATCACTTGTTTTAAACAAAATAAATTTAAAAGGCAGAACTCCTAAATAAAATAAAAAGATAATTCTCTCTTGCTTCAAATAAATTAAAAAAGAAATAGAAAACTATTGTGTAACTAATGTTCCCAGAAAGCTCCTGATGACTTAGAAGAGGGGTCAGAAATCACTATCTGCAAGCTGAATCCAGTTTGCTACCTGCTATTGTATGTAGTTTTATTGGCACACAACCATGTTTACATATGACTGCTTTTGTGTGTCATGGAGAGTTAAACAGTTACAGAACATCTGTCCCACAAGCCTAAATTATATACAATATGACCCTTTATAGAAAAGGTTTGCTAACGACTGGGTCAGATCATTAATAATGGTGAGAATGTATACCTTGGATTAAAGATTATAAAGTATCATCTGACAAATATTAACATACATCTGGAAACAATGAGACAGAGTGTCGAAATCAGCTTTAACAAAAGAAAATGAGGTGAGGCCAGCTGTGGTGATGGAACAGTAGTGCAATGTCCTGCAAAGCCAGGGCCTGGTAGAAGGTCCTGGGCTTGCATCCTCAGGTCTCACTTGCCTGCTAGGCATGTGCTGTATCCTGGCTGGCTAGGGGTGGATCACAGCATGGGTACACTGCTAGGGGTGCCTTTCTCTCTCTCATGGAAAAATAGATAAACTTTGAAAAGAAAAAATGAAGTGGGATATTTCTTTTACCCATTGTAATTTCTCCTCCAGAGGATCCATAGACATTAATACCTGCACATATGTATACTTTATCTTACATATTTCTAACAGCAAATCAGAATACATGATTCTCTGATCAATTTACTGTGGTAAAATTGTAGATTAAAAATACATGAGGCTCTTTAATTCATTGGTTCTTCAATCTCTCCCCTGGGGGAGACTTTTTTCCTAAGGTATACCAGGGGACTCACCACTCCTACTGATGACAGGAGTCTCTCTGGGCATGTGTGTATTTTTTTAAGCTCTTTAGGTGATTCTGACTCTTAGCTCAAAATAAATAGCAATCTGAAGTGATCTAGTTTTATGACTAGACCAATTATACCAGTGAGGCAAATACTCATAAATTATGAGTTTTTAAATTCCTGATAAGTATTTTTGTTAAAGGGCATGTGTGCTCACTGGAGAGACAAAAAGTGAGAAATCACAACCCAGGGAGGATGGCCACTCCACAATCCCTTTTCCTCCATTCTCCTTTTGGGGTTTTGGGCACGCACACACATGTATTCAGGGTGAATTTTAAGCTGTCAGGACCAGGACTTGAACTGCAGTTGACTATGTGGGAGTCTAGTGATGTAACTATTATACCATCTGCTGTCCCTATAGTCTTTTCTAACCATAAGACCAGTAAACTCACAGATTTGGCCATTTATTAGAATAACACAAGGAGCTTTTAAAAAAATATTGATGCTTCTGGAGATGGGACTCAGACACTGGTAGTCCTAAAAGTTTCCCACAAAGTTTCTGATGTGTAGCTGGGATTGAGAACCACTGTCCTACACACTCTCCTATTTAAAAAAACAATTAAAAGTATCTGATACCACCTACAACTCATATAAAGAAGTCAAGGGAATTTGCTTTGCTGAGGATGGTAAGATAATTTTTGATGAAGTCTGATTTAAGCACATCTCACCTAATCACAAAGGCCCCTCTGATCCTAATTATGAAATCAATTCATGCCAAATTTCTTGGCAAGTGTAAGGGGCTTTAGAGTGAGTCACACTTGGATTTAAATCCAATCTTACCAGTTACTAGTTGTGAGACTGTAAGTTAACAAATATTTTTGTCTCAGTTTCCACATTTAGAAAATGGAGATAAATAATTATTACAGGGTTCAGGATTAAATAAATTATGTATATATGTTAAATACTTGGAGTATCTGGCACATACGTATTCAACAAATAATGAGTTCCCTCTCTTCCATGTAGTTTAATACAGACAGTGCCAATTAGAGAGTTTTCTACAAGGCTACATTCTTTCTTCCTTTCTCTGAGATAGCACAGAACTGGGTTGCTTAATCATACATGAGCAAGCCTCTGGATCAAAGTTCTTTTCTGTAGTCACAGATGGCTAAAATAGACAACGCCATACTGCTTCTTCTAAAATCTCTTAGCAATCAATATATCCATTTGTTATGTATTACATGAAAAGAAAAATTGTGTCTTTTACTACACTTTCCAATATAGTACACTAGTTTAAAGTAACTGAATGGAAGTCTCTCAAGTTAGAATGTACAGAACTGTGAATAAAGCTTAGGAGAATAGCTATTAAACAAAAGAGTAGATGATTAAATTAAATGCCAATCTTTAACATTTTTTTCTCTCTGCCTCTTACTCTTACTATATGCTAAGAAATACAATTAAAAAGATACTATTAACAATGAGTATACATAAAGGTGGTTCATTTTTAAAGAGTAAAGTTAAAAATGTACTAAAAGCATCTCTATGTAAAATCTAACAAGAAATTCAAAAATTTTAAATGGTGCCCCATTATCAATGTATTACTGAGCTTTTTCCTTTTAAAACATGTCATAACAGGCTGTTCTCTTACTTGGGTAACAGCTGGGTTCTTTTTGTAGTTCAGACAGAGAAATTCTGCCAGAGCCAAAAGCAGTTCAGTTCCAACTGGAGCATTTCCATGGATACCAGCAACAAAACGAATCTTTGGCTCCTCAGGCTCAGACACGTTGGGCTTGTTAGAGATTTCAAGGGACCAAATGTGACGATATTCAGCGCTCTGTCCCAAACTTTAAAAAGCAGAAACAAAATGTCATGCTGACTTACAGACTTAATGCTGACTTACAGACTTCAGAATAGAAATGAAGTTAAAAAACAAAAACATGTAAAAGTCTTTAAGTAATAAATCGGTGTTGGAAAATTGTTTTTTTCCTGACCAAAGAACATCAAATAAAAGTAAAATATCAGATTTAGGAAAGATTATGATTGAGTTCATCTTTCTTCCAAATTAGTCATTCTCATACCATTTTCACAGTATTTGCTCTATACTTCTATTTAGGTAATGTGTCTTTTAAGTTAAATTTTTTTATTATGGTGGCCAGCAGGTAGCATAGTGGTTATGTCATTGGACTCCCATGTGGCTGACCGCAATTCAAGTCCCAGATCTAGTGGCTTGAAACTCATGCTTGGATTATGTGCATATGTGCCCAAAATCCCAAGAGGAGAATGGAGAAAGGATTGTGGTGTAGCCAACCCCCTGGGGGGTGATTTTTTGCTCTCTGTCTCTCCAACAAGAACGTACCCTATAGCAAAAAAAACTCTCTCAATTTTTTTTTTTATTATGGATATAGTTAAATATATAGTCATGTTGCTTAACAGGGACATGCTTTGAGAAGTGTGTCATCGGGTGATTTTGATGTATGTGAACATATAGTGTATGCTTAATAAACTATATAACTTACTAGATATGCCTGGGCTATAAGGCATGCCTGCTGCACCTAAAGCTGTATAGCATATTACTATATTGAATACTGCAAGCAACTGTAATACAAATAAGTACTTGTATATCTAAACATATCCAAACTTAGAAAAGATACCATAAAAATATAGTAGCGAACATTTTTAAAATGGTGTACCTGCACAAGGAACTTACCACAGACAACACGTACAGGACTGGAAGCTGCTCTGGGTGAGTCAATGAGTACTGAGTGAATGAGAAGGCCTAGGAGGTTATTGTTCACTACTATAGAGTTTATAAAGATTGTACACTTAGGCTACACTAAACTTATTTAAAAAGTGATTTCTTTCTTTAATTGCAAATTAGCTTTAGCTTATATAACTTTATTTCATAAACATTTTAATGTTTTCAACTTTGGACTCCTTTATAACAACCTTTAGCTTAGAACACACCTGTACAGCTGTACGAAATTATTTCTTTTCTTTTTTTGGTTTTTGCTGTAGGGTACATGTGCTCATCAGAGAGAGACAGTGAGAGAAAAAGTGAGAAATCACCCCCCAGGAGGGATGGCCACACTGTAATTCCTTCTTTTTCCATTCTCCTGGGATTTTGGGGACGCTAGCACACATGCTCAGCATGATTTTAAAGCTGCCAGGTCAGGGACTTAAACTGGGGTTGACTATGTGTGAGTCCAGCACCTAGACCACCATGCCACCTGGTGGCTCCATATTTCCTTCCTTATATCCTTATTCTATAAGCTTTTTCCTAGTTTAAAATTAAAAAAAATATTGTTTTGTTAAAACACACACTTGAGCCTAGGCCTACACAGGGTCAGGATCATCAATACCACTGTCTTCTACCTCCACATCTTGTCCCACTAGAAGGGCCATGATAAACAAAACGTGAGATTAAATAATGTTCAAACAAAAACGATGCAATAAAGAGATGTATCAGGCTGCTGTCACTGTAGCATAGCATATGACAGGTCTTCAAAACTCATGGAGGGCCATCCTGCAGTGTAGCAGTTAGATGCTCTGCAAAGGAAGCAAGATCTCACATAGCCAACCTGGGTTCAAATCCCAGTCCTGGTGGCTTGAAAAACATATTAGATGTTTTCCCCCCTGTAGTGCTTTGTGGGTCTGTAGGTCGGCTGCAGCCACGGGTCTCTGTTCTACAGGATGGGATTTGTTAAAGTTATCAAGAATAAGGCCTACTTTAAGAGATACTAAGTGAAATTTAGAAGTGAATGAGAGGGTAAAACTGAATACTACACTCGGAAATGCCTGGTGATCTATCATAAAAATTAGTACAACACACCCAGATACAGGATGATAGTTCATGCAACTAACAGAGATATCATTTGTCAGACTGCTTATGCCCATATAGAAGGATATAATAGTCTGTACAGCTTATGCACACGAACTACCAAAATATGGCATGAAGACTGGCCTGACAAATTATGCTGCATCATATTGTACTGGCCTGCTGCTGGCCCGCAGACTTCTCAATAGGTTTGGCATGGACAAGATCTATGAAGGTCAAGTGGAAGTGACCAGAGATGAGTACAATGGAGAAAGCATGGATGGTCAACCTGGTGCCTTCACCTGCTATTTGAATGAAGGCCTTGCCAGAACTCCCACTGGCAATAGAGTTTTTGGGGCCCTGATGAGAGTGGTGGAGGGAGGCTTATCTATCCCTCACAGTATCAAATGATCCCCTGGTTATGACTGAAAACAAGGAATTTAATGCGGAAGTCCATCGGAAGCACATCATGGGCCAGAATGTTGCAGATTATATGCGTCACCTAATGGAAGAGGATGAAGACACAAGAAGCAATTCTCTAAGTACAGAAAGAATAAAGTAACTTCAGACATGATGGAGGAGATGTATAAGAAAGCTCACACTGCTATATGAGAGAACCTAGTCTATGAAAAGCAGTCCAAGAAAGAAGTTAAAAAGAAGAGGTGGAATTGTCCCAAAACGTCCCCTGCCCAAAGCAAAGACTGGGTAGCCCAGAAGAAGGGAAGCTTCCTCAGAGCTCAGGAGCAAGCTGCTGAGAGCTAAACCAAACAACTTTCTATGATGTTATTCCAGATAAAGACAAGAAACTTAACCAGGCAGCAAAAACAAAACAAAACAAAACCCACACTAGTGCACACATGCATGCCCAGGATCCTGATGGGATGGAAAATTGGAAGGAAAAGGGTTGCAGCATGACCGGGTCACAATCTCTCTCTCTCTTTCTGTCATGTTCACACACATGCATGTACCCGCAGGCATTAAAAAAAAACTCATGGGCTCTTTCTGTGCAGATAGCAGGCCCACAAGCACGGTGAACGTCCCTAAAACCCGCCGGACCTTCTGTAAGTGTGGCAAGCACCAACCTCATTAAGTGACACAGTACAAAAAGGACAAGGATTCTCTGTGTGCTCAGGGACAGCGGCTAAGTTATGACAGGAGGCAGAGTGGCTGTGGTGGACAGCCTCTTTTCCGGAAAAAGGCAAAAACTACAAAGATTGTGCTGAGGCTTGAAGGTGCTGAGCCCAACTGCAGATCTAAGAGAATGCTAGCTATTAGAGATGTAAGCATTTTCAACCGGGAGGAGATAAGAGAAAGGATCAAGTGATCCAGTTCTAAGCCTCATCTTTTCTATTACAAAATCTTTTTTTTTGGAGAGGTTTTTGCTATAGGGCGCATGCACTCGCCAGATAGACAAAGAGAGACAGAGAGACAGAAAGCGAGAAATCACCCCCCAGAGGGGATGGTCACACCGCAATCCCTTCTCCTAAAAAAAACAAAAAAAAAAAAAAAAAAAAAAACAAACCCAAAACCTCATGAGCTCTCTCTCTCTGTCTCTCTCCAGCAATATATGTACCCTATAGCAAAAATTTAAAAACAAACAAACATAAAATTTCTTTATTAAAATAAAACGTTTCAACTGGTGACATTAAAAAACAAACAGAAAACTTACTGCTTACTCGTGGTGCTATTCAACAACACTGTTGGTGTACTATCTCAAACTGTCCCCAATTATTGGCAGATGTGCCATGCTTTAGGGGAAATATTTAACTAAAAGTGGGTCTTGAATTAGAAGGTTAAAAAAATGAACTAAGTAAATAGATAGCAAAATAATGTTTTGTTTTTTCTTTTTTGGAGAGGTTTTTTGCTATAGGGCGCTTGCATTCGCCAGAGAGACAGAGAGACAGAAAGCGAGAAATCACCCTCCGGGGGGATGGCCATGCTGCTATCCCTTCTCCTCCATTCTGCGCTTGGGATCTTGGACATGCACACACACATGCCTGGCATGAGTTTAAGCTGCCGGGTCCGGGACTCGAACCGTGGTCAACTACATGGGAGTCCAGTGACTTAGCTATTATGTTAACTGCTGGTCCCACAAAAGAGACAGAAAGCGAGAAATCACCCTCCGGGGGGATGGCCATGCTGCTATCCCTTCTCCTCCATTCTGCGCTTGGGATCTTGGACATGCACACACACATGCCTGGCATGAGTTTAAGCTGCCGGGTCCGGGACTCGAACCGTGGTCAACTACATGGGAGTCCAGTGACTTAGCTATTATGTTAACTGCTGGTCCCACAAAATGTTTAATTTTGAGTTTACTTTTTTTTTTTTGAGAGGCTTTTGCTATAGAGTGCATGCACTCACTGGAAAGAGACAGAAGCAAGAAATCACCCCCCAGGGGGATAGCCACGCTGCAATTCCTTTTCCTCCATTCTCCTCTCAGGATCTTGGGCACACATGCACACGTGCCCAATTTTGGGTTTATTTTAAAATAATTAAGTCTTGGGACCAGCAGTTAATGTAATGGCTGTCACTGGACTCCCATGTAGTCAACCGTGGTTCAAGTCCTGAACCTGGTGGCTTAAACTCATGCTGGGCACATGTGCGTGCGTGCCCAAGATCCTGACCAGAGAATGGAGAAGGAATTGTGGCTTGGCCCTCCCCCCCAGGGGGGAATTTGTGCGGCTTGGCCCTCCCCCCTAGGGGGTAATTTCTCGCTTTCTGTCTCTTTGTCTGTCTTTCTGGTGACTGCACGTACCCTATAGCAAAAACCTCCCCCTCCCCCCAAAAAATTATAAGTCTTTAAGTTCTATATAGTACAAAGATGGATTATATTAAAACCTGAAGTAGGCAGGGGCCAGCCCGTAGCCTAGTGTTTAAGGGAGCTGGATCCCACACAGCCAACCACAGTTCAAATCTGGCTCCAGTGGCTTGAAAATCTGCTAGGTGCATGTGTGTGGGTACCCAAAATACTGACAAAGTGAGGAGATGGAGGAGAAGGGATTGTGGCACGAGAATCTTTGCTGGAAGGTGCTCCCCCTACCCCTTTGGTGAGTACATGTGACTCTGACAATTAGAAGAAAAAAAAAAAAAAAAACCTGAAGGCAGAAACATTCACATATCAGCTGAAGAAAGGAGGTAATTTTTTACCACCGAAGTAAGTATCACTCTTCGCATCTACAAATATTACCAGAATTTGGAAAGCTACTTTTCCTGGTAAAATGAAAGAACCAAAGAGGTAAGAAAGTAAAGACTAGATCACGTCCATTCGGTATGCAGCAGGACAATATAAGCTCAGGACGAGACTAAAGACGGAATGTGAAGACCATACCTACAGCAGGCAAACTACAGGGATCAATAAATTGTGAAATAGTTTTGGAATACTGTAACAAGAACTAAAGAGGATCTATAATGAAACAGTGAAAGCAAGGCAAAAAATAAAAAGTCCACTACAGAAAGGAAAAAGCTGTCTCAGCCATCAGTTTTACATAAGTCAGTACGGCATATTTTCCTCACAAGCTTCAATCAGACATGGCACTAAGAATTCAGGTAACAGATAGAAGAGAGACGGGAGGACAGGCAATGACAGCAACCAGTCGTCCTCTTCTTTTTTATTTTTTTAATTTGAAAAAAAAAAAAAGGTTATATGTGATCCCTAACAGGTGAGCTCATACTTGTAAATTCCTTCCTTGCCCCCAGTAAAATAAAACAAAATAAGCAATATTTAGTCAGAACATGAATCTGCAGTTCAGAAATGAAAAGATTTTGATATCGAAGTAATCATTAGGAAGAGTAATTTTTTATTTCCTGGATGCACAGCCTATATACATTGTTAATCTAATAAGTAATTCTGCTCTAATGATCTTCATAAAAGTTCCCAAGAGTCACTATTGGACAGATCTCCCAGCAAATGCACACTGAAAAATAAGTAAGCTACCAATCGCTACACATTCGACTCCCAAATCTTTCTAAATAAATTTATAAGAACACTTTACTGTGGCTAATACTGAATGACTGAATGTACTTTTTAAAAATTTTCTTTTAGTTTTTGCTATAGGGCATATGCACTTGCCAAGTGAACAGAAACAGAGAGGGAAAGTGAGAAATTGCCCCACAGGTGTGATGACCACACCACAATCCACTGTCCTCCGTTCTCCTCTCGGGATTTTGGGCACATATGCACGTGTTTGGCATGATTTTCAAGCTGCTAGGTCCGAGACTTGAACTGAAGAGTCAGCCATATGGAAACCAGTTACCTTAACCTTCGCATCACCTGCTGGCCCTGAATGTAATCTTTTGGGGTTTTTTTGAGAGGTTTTTGCTATAAGGTGCGTGCACTCACCAGACAGACAGAGATAGAGAGACAGAAAGTGAGAAATCACCCCCCCAGGGAGGATGGCCATGCCGCAATCCCTTCTCCTCCATTCTCCTCTCGGGATCTTGGGCACGCATGCACATGCGCCCACCGTGAGTTTTAAGCCACCGGGTCCGGGATGTGAACCGTGGTCGACTACAAGGGAGTCCAGTGACATAGCCATTACACTAACTGCTGGTCCCCCTGAATGTACTCTTTCTAAGAAAAGAAGAAAGAAAGAAAAACAAAGATAGTAAGAAAGTGACACTTACTTGGTAAGATTTGTAATATGTGGGTAGTTCATGACAAGTCCTCTCAGAAACTCGGATAAGTCTTTGTACGAATGGTATCGATAAAGGGCCAGATTAGAGGAGGACTTTAACATGAGGCCTTCTAAACCATTCTCGGCTGAAAGGTCTTTAATTAAAGCTTCAAATTCTTTAGTAGTTGGATCACTGGCATCATCAGTGCTGGCGCTATCTCCCTTTCCTTTCTTTGATTCACTGTTTGCATCTGTTGAGGAGCGAACAAGTGTGAAGTTGACCTGAATAGCGCCTTCACTCTTTACAGTCACGTTCTTGGTCACCGGATTATACCTGTAATAAAGGAGACAGATTAGAGCCACACTTCAGCTGCAGTACCTAAGCCCTGGGAAAACAGAGGTAGGTAGAGGATATGTGAATTCTCAGGGTAAATGTGGTACATCTTCCTAAACAAAGTCTGATTTTCTTTTAGGTAATCTATAATTTTTTAAAACATTAGGCAACAAAGAACAGACACAGGTATATTATATAGTATGAATTAATTTTTAAGATTAAATAAATGACTTTAAAAGGTTTGTGCTTACAGTAGCTATTCCTATGTCTCCTGGAGTCCCAAGTGCACTTTTCTGTATCACAGCATATGAATGGAGATGTCTGAGAGGCACTAAGTTAGGACATTCTCTACCAAAAGCATCATTCTTGCCTGACTTTGCTCATTCTTTGACTTTATCTAATATTCTGCCAAAATGAAAGAAAACCAGAGAAGACCCCACTACTCATTAGTATAAGGCTCTTAGTCATCCACTTATGGACTCTGGATATTTGAACACATTAAAACAAACCAACCAAAAAAACCCAACAACTACAGATGTTTCCATGTATTTATCCTTATTTCAATGGGTATTCAAACTAACTCTAGAGAAATAAGTTAGCTAGAAGAGGGAGGGAACTATCCTGTAGTAACACCTACACTTATCAAAACGTAAAAGAAGAGAACTGTAAGAGGTTAAAAGGATAATTTTCAGATTAAACAGTCAGGTGGGTGCAACTCTACATTTTTTATAAAAGAGGAAGAAGTTATAGATAAATAAATATATAGGGGCCAGCAGGTGGCATGGTAGTTAAGGAGCTGGACGCCAATGTTGCTGACTGTAGTTTGAGTCCTGGACGTGGTGGCTTGCATTCTCACTTTCTGTCTTTCTGGTCAAATTAAAAAATAATAATAATAAATAAAATTACATAATTATTTTAAAAAGGAAATATATAAAAATATTTTAAATTCAAAAGATAATGTTTGCTTTTCTCTTTAAATAATTAAATCTTTGTTGGAAAAAATCAGCAAAAAAGATTAAAATGGCCTTACTTACAGAAAAGACAATAAGAAAAAAAATTTCACTAAAGCAATAAGTATAAGCAATAAACAATGAAAAATAAGTGTCTGCCAAAGAGCTTGAAAACATGCTCTAGAAGGGTCCAAATGTAAAGTAGTGACATTTATTGGACAACATGACCAGAAGCAGGCAGTAGAGCAGATTTATTTCTTTTTTGAACTAACAGGTACTTCCCAGAATTGTTATCAATAGTGAAGGAAATCACTCATTATGCCTTATCTGGACAGGGGACAAGTGATCAGAGAAAAGGGTAAAATAAGCCGCTGTTCAAAGTGCATAATGACAAAGATTTCTTATGCCTGAAAATTCATGCATGCACTTTGCTACTAGAAGAGAATCAAATGTGTAAGTAGCTCTAAACTTCCCAGCACTAAACTCAAGGTTGCTGAGGAGGCGCTCTAGGACTTTCTAGCAATAATCTTCCAGAAAGGAACATTTGTCTTACCCCCAAGTCTTCAATTTTATAGCATTCAACACTCACCCTCGAGCAGATGCTGTGATTTTATAAGTTCCTGGAACCAAGAGACGCCAGTAGTCTCCAGTTTTGTAAGTAGTCACAGGGTGATTAATTTCAGCAACACTAATGGTAGCATTCAATATGCCCCTGCCATCTGTGGCATCTAGGACAAATCCTTTAACACCCTGATGAACCTGGATGAAGGAGAAGGACACCCAGATTTCAATGGTAAAGATCATTATCTCATATGTGAAATAACCAATTGTGAATAATGCAAACAAATGAAGCAAGTGCGTGCACTCACCAGACAGACAGAGATAGAGAGACAGAAAGTGAGAAATCACCCCCCCAGGGAGGATGGCCATGCCGCAATCCCTTCTCCTCCATTCTCCTCTCGGGATCTTGGGCACGCATGCACATGCGCCCACCGTGAGTTTTAAGCCACCGGGTCCGGGATGTGAACCGTGGTCGACTACAAGGGAGTCCAGTGACATAGCCATTACACTAACTGCTGGTCCCCCTGAATGTACTCTTTCTAAGAAAAGAAGAAAGAAAGAAAAACAAAGATAGTAAGAAAGTGACACTTACTTGGTAAGATTTGTAATATGTGGGTAGTTCATGACAAGTCCTCTCAGAAACTCGGATAAGTCTTTGTACGAATGGTATCGATAAAGGGCCAGATTAGAGGAGGACTTTAACATGAGGCCTTCTAAACCATTCTCGGCTGAAAGGTCTTTAATTAAAGCTTCAAATTCTTTAGTAGTTGGATCACTGGCATCATCAGTGCTGGCGCTATCTCCCTTTCCTTTCTTTGATTCACTGTTTGCATCTGTTGAGGAGCGAACAAGTGTGAAGTTGACCTGAATAGCGCCTTCACTCTTTACAGTCACGTTCTTGGTCACCGGATTATACCTGTAATAAAGGAGACAGATTAGAGCCACACTTCAGCTGCAGTACCTAAGCCCTGGGAAAACAGAGGTAGGTAGAGGATATGTGAATTCTCAGGGTAAATGTGGTACATCTTCCTAAACAAAGTCTGATTTTCTTTTAGGTAATCTATAATTTTTTAAAACATTAGGCAACAAAGAACAGACACAGGTATATTATATAGTATGAATTAATTTTTAAGATTAAATAAATGACTTTAAAAGGTTTGTGCTTACAGTAGCTATTCCTATGTCTCCTGGAGTCCCAAGTGCACTTTTCTGTATCACAGCATATGAATGGAGATGTCTGAGAGGCACTAAGTTAGGACATTCTCTACCAAAAGCATCATTCTTGCCTGACTTTGCTCATTCTTTGACTTTATCTAATATTCTGCCAAAATGAAAGAAAACCAGAGAAGACCCCACTACTCATTAGTATAAGGCTCTTAGTCATCCACTTATGGACTCTGGATATTTGAACACATTAAAACAAACCAACCAAAAAAACCCAACAACTACAGATGTTTCCATGTATTTATCCTTATTTCAATGGGTATTCAAACTAACTCTAGAGAAATAAGTTAGCTAGAAGAGGGAGGGAACTATCCTGTAGTAACACCTACACTTATCAAAACGTAAAAGAAGAGAACTGTAAGAGGTTAAAAGGATAATTTTCAGATTAAACAGTCAGGTGGGTGCAACTCTACATTTTTTATAAAAGAGGAAGAAGTTATAGATAAATAAATATATAGGGGCCAGCAGGTGGCATGGTAGTTAAGGAGCTGGACGCCAATGTTGCTGACTGTAGTTTGAGTCCTGGACGTGGTGGCTTGCATTCTCACTTTCTGTCTTTCTGGTCAAATTAAAAAATAATAATAATAAATAAAATTACATAATTATTTTAAAAAGGAAATATATAAAAATATTTTAAATTCAAAAGATAATGTTTGCTTTTCTCTTTAAATAATTAAATCTTTGTTGGAAAAAATCAGCAAAAAAGATTAAAATGGCCTTACTTACAGAAAAGACAATAAGAAAAAAAATTTCACTAAAGCAATAAGTATAAGCAATAAACAATGAAAAATAAGTGTCTGCCAAAGAGCTTGAAAACATGCTCTAGAAGGGTCCAAATGTAAAGTAGTGACATTTATTGGACAACATGACCAGAAGCAGGCAGTAGAGCAGATTTATTTCTTTTTTGAACTAACAGGTACTTCCCAGAATTGTTATCAATAGTGAAGGAAATCACTCATTATGCCTTATCTGGACAGGGGACAAGTGATCAGAGAAAAGGGTAAAATAAGCCGCTGTTCAAAGTGCATAATGACAAAGATTTCTTATGCCTGAAAATTCATGCATGCACTTTGCTACTAGAAGAGAATCAAATGTGTAAGTAGCTCTAAACTTCCCAGCACTAAACTCAAGGTTGCTGAGGAGGCGCTCTAGGACTTTCTAGCAATAATCTTCCAGAAAGGAACATTTGTCTTACCCCCAAGTCTTCAATTTTATAGCATTCAACACTCACCCTCGAGCAGATGCTGTGATTTTATAAGTTCCTGGAACCAAGAGACGCCAGTAGTCTCCAGTTTTGTAAGTAGTCACAGGGTGATTAATTTCAGCAACACTAATGGTAGCATTCAATATGCCCCTGCCATCTGTGGCATCTAGGACAAATCCTTTAACACCCTGATGAACCTGGATGAAGGAGAAGGACACCCAGATTTCAATGGTAAAGATCATTATCTATTTTTGGTAACTCATATGTGAAATAACCAATTGTGAATAATGCAAACAAATGAAGCAAAAAGGAATTCATAGCTTCAGAGGAAAGCTAAATGTAAATGCTCATAAAACAAAATATTTTAGTTTATGAAAGTTGATTTTTCATGGTCTATATTTGTTTTTATCATGAGAAATATAAATGACATTATTTAAACTTTGGCACATTCTGACTATTTCATAATAGGATATTCTACAAGAAAACTGGCCTGGCTTCTTCAAAAAGGAAATAGCATTCTTTAAAAAAATGAAAGGACTGGGGGCCAGCAGATGGTGTAGCGGTTACGATGCTGGACTCCCACATGGCCAACTACAGTTTGAGTCCCAGACCCTGTGGCTTGAAAATCATGCTGGGCACGTGGGTGCCCAAGATCCCAGGAGGAGAATAAAGGAGAAAGGATTGCAGCATGGCCATCCCCCCTGGGAGTGATTTCTCACTTTCCCTCTCACTGTCTCTCTCTCTCTCCAGTGAATGAACACATCCTAAGCAAAATACTCTTAAAAAATAAAAAAAGAAAGAAAGGACTAGGGCCAGTAGGTGGCGTGGTGATTAAAGCACTGACTCCCACATGGCCAACCACAGTTCAAGTTCCAGGTCCAGCAGCTTGAAACCCAAGCTGGGCACTTGTACGTGTGTGCCCAAAATCCTAAGAGGAGAATGGAGAAGAAAGGTTGTAGTGTGGCCATCTCGCCTGGGGGGTGATTTCTCACTTTCTGTCTCTCTGTCTCTGTCTGTCTCTCTGACAAGCACAAGTATTCTATACCAAAAAAAAAAAAAGAACCACAAAAAATAAAATCCCTCTAAATAAATAAATGAAAGAACTATTGTAGACTAAAGATAATAAAGACATATACAGATCTAGAATCTCTTATCCAAAACTCTTGGGACCAACCAGGAACAAATTGGAATTGGAAAGGGTGAATTTTAAAATCACTGCATGAAAACAACATGTATACAGAAAAACGTTCTTGCTTTTAGGAGAAATTTCATTTCATTCTTGAATAGTCACCTGTTTCATAAACTGGATTAGAGATCTTCGATTCTGCTCCCAAAATTTTGGCAGATCTTTCTCAAATGGATATTTTATACAACCTAGTTCAATAGTCACTTCAAAGCAATTTGTTTGTAAGTAGTTCCAGTCCTGCATACCACCTGAAGGATAAAAAATCAAGATAAGTCACTCTGAATAAGCTCTAAATAGCTCAACTCCTGAAAGGTAAGCAGCATTTCTGGTTAAAAAAAAAAAAATGATGTATTAGTACTGTTTGAAAAATAAGGTGCATTTCATGTGAAGGCTTTTTGATGTCTGTGGTACGGGCAAAAACACTGTACTTTCATGTACAGGAAGAATTCAAGTTGGAGCTTACAC